GGAGGGGCTGTCTGTGTGTCAGCCGGCACCGGCTGCAACCAGGACGCAGAGTTTCGGTAACTCCAGCTCTGTACAATCCTAGAGCAAACGGGTAAGAATCACTTAAATAATGTAGTCGGGTTCCTTCCTTAAGTAGGATAAGGCACCAGGCTAATCCCTCAATAAATTTGTCTAACCTTATCTTCTTGAATGCATCTAATAAGGGGGATGTAATTACCTGTTTAAGGCAGTTTCCTCCTTTGAAAGACTGGCTGCAGCATTTAAGTGCACATCATCTAATTTCTGCAGTGGATAGTCATACAAGAAACCGAAGACCTGAATGTCTTGCATTTGTTCACAGATGGGTTTTGTTTATTGCATTTAGAAATTCTCTACCTTTTGGCATAACTCAGGTGTGGGGAAAAATATACTTGAGCTAACATAAGCATGTGCAACCGTAATTCCTGGAATGACACCGGGATTGTAACTGCAGGCTTTCTTTGTGAGATGGTGAAGGTCTTTCATGGAGAGAGTCTCCTTCAGGTACAGCCCGAGAAGGCTCCCTTCAGCTGTACCTTTGGCCCTTCCAGCTCTAGGGTGTGGGTGTCGGTGGCTTTTGAGAGAAGCTTTAGGTTGACTGTTGGTGAGGAAACAAGTTCATGCTTATATTGTCACTTAATGAGAAGAGGTCTCTTCTCCACTGTGATAACTTGGCGCAAGGAGGAGGATGTTTCAAACTATAATGGAGTAGCAGTGAAACTGTTTTTTCACAGACTGCCAAGGAAAGCACAAAGTTTACTAACCTGAAGAAGGAATCTCTTTCCGTGGGAGCCCTCCTGCGTTCCCTCACGAATGCTTAGGGAACCTCCAGCCGAGTGACTGGCTCGACTGCCCTCGCTGTCACCTTGACCCAGCCTCCCTGGACACGGGTGTCTTGAGCCTTGCTATTAATGCTAAGTGCTTTTTCACAGATAGAAGGGCCAAGTGTTATTATTGCAGAAAACTGAATGGCTTTTTCAATCTGGAGCTGAGTTTAATCTGGAGGGAGATCATGTTCATTGTAAAAGACTTAACTTATTAAAGCCTGAATACAAAGAATACCTTCTATTTATGCTTTTGCCTTCCTTGTCTAATCTCTATAGTAAGGGTTTGATCAAAAACTGTGGATGGTGTTGCAAATACTCTTACTAGTTCATTGTTATGGATTTTGTATCAGGTCCCGAGATGTCTTTTGAAAAAAATACTTGCCTTTCTTCTGACTGGAAGACATAAATGAGTATTTCCTAACAAAAATAAGGTTTAAAGTGTTGAACTTCAGATATGTGTGATGGATATGATGAAATACTGAGATACTGTTTTTTCTTTTTTCCTATCAAGACTGCATGTTCAGATTGCTCATTTCTAACAATGTCTTGTTGTCCAGTCCTTGGGTGTGGGGAAAAATGACTCTGTGTGACTGTGCTGGTACCAGTTGTACCAGCTCCTTGGTGTCTGTGTTGCATTGTATCATTTCTGCGGCCACTTTGTTGGAACCTTACTTCTGCCTGGTTTAATAATTTATAAAATGCCTATTGCCTCTAGGCACATTGCATCCAGTAAGAAGAAAAACATCAACCGGTGTTTACTGGACTACTGCTTGCGTAGTTTGAGGTTAACAAAAAATGAAGTCTTTGTGAATGAGGGGATTCTCATTTTTAGCTTATATAAACCCATGAAAATATAGGGTTTGTGCTAAAGCTCTTCTGGGGATGTTAGTCCTTTCCTATCTCCATCCTTACAAACGTAGCTTGTCCTCTGGTGACAAAGTGGAGTTTTGACTGTGACCTTCCTTAAACTAATTTTGGGTCTGATTCTCCTTTTTTTTCTTGTATCTATGAATGTCTGACTTGAGTTTGACAGCTATCTGGTTTTTAACGATGGCAAAACAGCGTTAAAATAATAAAATCAGGTCCTCTGTCTTCACAGAATTAGTTTCTTAGGCTTGAAAGAGGTCAATATCTTTTGGAGGGGAAGAAAATTGTCCTCTCAAATCCAGCAGGCCAAATTCTCTGCCAGATATTTATGAGCCACTATTTTGAATCACTCATTCAGCTGGAGGATGAAAATTGGCCTATAGTTCATCTTGTCTCTTTTCAAACAGCTAAATGATGATTCAGTGACCTCAGCTGGCAAATTATATCACCGGCTAATTGGCCTAAGTGCGCAAAAAGAAAATCTTGCCTGATATCAAACAAACTTACTGCTGCTGTTCTTCACTTAAAAACCCTTTACTGCCCCAGGTAATATTTGCTTTGTTTCAAATATTTGCTTTGTTTCAAATACTTCCAGATTTTTATCATAGCACTGGAAACTGGACGTAGTAAATTCTGTCCATTAATCATACCTACTAATCCTGTCCTGCTCATCTTCGGGAGTTTCCATGCTTGGCAGGTATTGCCTCTTAACAAAACTTGAAAAGCTTAACGTTTCAAGCTCGCTTTCCCCTGCGGACAGCCCACCCCTCCTCTTCCTCATCTGCCAGTGAAACCGTGTGCTTTGGCGTGGCGGTTTTGGAGGACGTGGACTCCCTGCTTGGAGCCCGCTGGGGCAGCAGGTGCCGGGAGCGGTCCAGGGAAGCCCGGCAGAGCCCACCTGAGGCTTCCCCAGCAGCCTCTGCCAAGGTGTCTGCGCAGCCCGGGTGTGTTTGCTAGCGCGTGTGGGGTAAGGTGGTGGCCTGGGGACATCTGGATCAGCCACGCGTGCGAGGTGGGACATGCGAAACAGCTGGGCCAGGCTGGTGGCTGCTCTGGAGGAGGAACAGGAGGGCGGCTTGTTCTGCTGGTATTAATGGTCAGTCTGACCTTAGTTCTTGTTTGCTTATTGAAAAAATAGTTTAGGGCTGGTTTCTTCTGTGCTAGGAAGACCATAATTGTGGGCTGCAAGCAAATGCAGGTGTAGAAGCATCCAGGCACTGCACATGCATCTCTCATTGCCTAAAGCGCCGCAGGAGTGAGTGGGGATGTGTGAAAGGGGTCAGCTGTTTGCTTTTTGCAAGGCTGTTAGTCAAGTTATACCACCTCCTTGGATGGCCTTGCCAGCTGGCTCATCCTTTAGGGATGTTTAAAGAGGCTTATCGCAATCTTACTAGAAATCTGTTGTCTTCCATTAATCTGCTTGTCTGTCTGCATCTCCTTGCCACGTGCTCCCTCGCTCATTCATCTAGACAGCGCCATTCTGCATGCACGGTTACTGATCGGCACCAGCTGTGCCGCACGCCGAAAGGTGCCTTCTGTCTGTGGCACGTTGGTTTGTAGACTGTTGCTTTTTGCTGTCCAACACGTTTTTTTTTTTCTTTTGATATGTATATTTAAAAATATTTATTTTTTCATAAAGCAGCATTTGTGAAACGACAGCAGAACCTGTGCACTCTGCTGGCTGGGGCAGAGGTGTGGGGGAGCCAGGGTATGTGGGTGGGAATCGGACTCCAGCCCACTTCTACTGCAGGTCCTGCTCGGGTGCGTGCGTGGCTGTGGTTCACGTGGTTGCTCAGTGTGCGAGCGCAGCTTGCCTTGCCTCTAGGAGCAGCGGGAAGGCGCTGGTAATTGTTCGGGCATGTAAATCACTGACTTTGTCCATTTTCCCCCTATGAAATCAGGATACTTTTTACTTCCCGGGGTAGCACTGTGGTTCACTTGGGCAGGCAGCACAGAGGGAGGGCTATAGAAAGAACTATGAAACTTTGGGAGAGAAAGGAGAGAAATGAACGCTAGACCCCAGCTTTCATGGCAAAACTGGAAAGTATTCATCAGTGAGAACTTCTTGATGGCAAAGGTTACCCAAGGTTTTGCTTGTCCGTTTTCAGCAGAGAACTGGCACTGCTGGCAAACGATGGCAGGCCCGTTCCTTCCCGTCCTGTCGCCGCGTGACTGCTGGCACACGCTGTGACGTGCGTGGCAGGTCTGTCTCTGCGAGAGGTGGAAGTGGCAGCCGGGCACAGGAGTCTGAACTCAACAGTGCCCCTCAATAGCACTGCTAGCTGGGGCAAGTATTGCTTTCAAAATAATGTATTTGTTCCTCATGGACCTTTTGTTTACAAGTCTTGCAAAAGTGCATGGATGCCTTGGTCAACAGAGCCACATAAGCAGCTAGGAAAAAGGAAAAAGAATAGCTCTAGGAGCGCTAAGCCGTAATACCCGTATGAAGCAAACAAACATGACAAGGTTTGATGTGGATCATGTGAGCTGTGGGATGCCTAGCTGTAGAGGCACAGGCAGGAGTCTGGCACGCAAAGCCTTTGGCAAAGGTGGCTTAGCCATCCCTCCTTCTAGGAGCATCATCCAAGTAATGATCCAGGGTACCAGTGATGCTGAGAGCGGGATGAAGAATATGTGCCTTTCCCCTCCACTTTCACTGGAACACTGTTCCTCTTGCACGGCTCGATGGTGTTTGCTTTTCTTGAGTATCACTAGTTGTCAGGGAAAGTGATTTTTTTTTTTTTTCTTCCTCCAGGATAGCTGATTTCATCTCATGGGAGCTAGCTGATAGGCACCAGAAAGGTGGCTTGGCATTACTGCTTTATAGCTTTCCATAATTCCAGTAGCAGTAGGACGAAACAAGAAGTGCCGTTATTGGGTGCGTTTTTCTGTTTGTCTTTGAAAGCACTTGATAGGCTGTGATTAATGAGGCTAAATAGAAGTTTAGTAAATGGTAGAGTCAAATAAACCTCAAACAAAAATGGCTTTCACAAGAAGGCTTTTGCTTCCGTGCAAAGTACAGATTGCAGGTTTAATGTATTGCTGTTTGTTTTATAGCTCTCAGAGCGCATTGCGCGGACTGTTCCTCTGTTTTACATAAAGGGAGGAGAAGCTGGAGTTTGTGTGTCGGTAGTAGGAATAGCCGCTATGCAGCGGCTCCTGTAGAATAGGTCTCTGTGCAGACCCTCCTCGAGTCTCCCCCGCCCAGCCCCCAGTTTAGGTTAATATAGTATTTTGAAATTTAGACTGCTGAATCTGTATCCTGGAGACCACTGTGTCCCCATATCCAGATTCTAATTAAAGATATGCTAAAAGTGGCAGGCCAGCTACCACGGCCTTGCAGATCAGAACCATTGGCCTAATCTATTTTTAAAGTGAA